CAAAGAGTCGTGGAGTTTCTCTCTCCTTCTCTCTCTCTCTCTCTCTCTCTTTTTCATTTCGTTTTTCCGTCGTGAACTTTTCATTTTTTTTGTTTCGAGTGTGTAAAAAAAAACAAAGAAACAAACAAACGAAAAATATTGTTGTTTTGCTGAAAGAAAGAAAAAATTATTTAATTCTTTGCTGGAGTTATAAAAATTTTTTAATTATATTTATACATCGTGTAATTAATTATATGTAAGAGAAAGAAAAATTTCAAATTATTTTTGCTACCAGTTTGTTGTAATTAACGCCAGCAAAACAAAAATAAAAATACGACAAGTTTCAAGTACTTTGAAAAGTTTTTTTTTATTTTTTTTTTTTTTTTTATAAGGATCCATTTCGCGTTTTTAATCTTTTATTCTAAAAAAAATGTTTGTTCGAATTTTAAGTTTTCATAGAGAAACAAAAAAAAAAAAAAATTGTTTCAAAAATTTTTTCGCGCCAAAATTTCGAATTGTTTCATTTTCGTTTTTTTTTTTACCTTCCGGTGTACACGTGAGCGATTTCCGGCACGATGGTATCATTGTTTAGCAATACATTTTTGTCGTTTTTTTTTTTTTTTTTTGTCAATGTTGGCGGCGGTCTTTCGATTATTTCGTGAGATTGACAAATTTATTCAATTTTTTTTTTTTTTGTTTTTTTTTCGTAATCGATTATGAAACAGAATAATTATAAGTAATTGTTTGATGACGTCATTAAGTAACGTCAACGTTATCGTACTCAATTTTTTTTGTTGTTACCTTGAAAGTAACTCATCAGTTAATTCGTCGGTCGGTCGGTATAAAAATTTGTCATTGGAATAGAAAGAAGGATTTAATTAAAGTATTTTATTGTCATTATTATCATTACGGTTGTTGTTGTTGTTGTTATCGTCGTTACGGTTGTTGATAATAAAAGTAAATAGTACCGCGAAACTCATGCGATTTAATTATATCTCGCTGGTGGGGATCTAAGAAACAATTAGAAATTTGTCAGGTAGAAAATTCAAACGGCTGTCATTTAATTAGTTAGAGAGCGAACGTGTAAAAAAAAAATAATTTTTTCGTCTCTCTCTCTCTCTCTCTGTCTCTCTCTCTCTTTGTCTCTCCCATTGAAAAAGAATAAAATCATTCGATAGAATTTTTTTTTTAAATTACGATAAATATTGGATGTTATTTTAATAGAATTAGTTGTTATTATTATTATTGTTGCTCCGACTGCCACGTAGTTAGTGGAAAAAAAAAGAAAACGATGGAAAAGTTTGAAAGAAAAACGGGGAGAAGGAGTGAAAATTGTCGGGAGAAAGAGTTTAAGGAGGGGAGAGGGAACAAAAATGGGGAGGTGGAGGTATGGGAGGAAAAAAAAAAAGAAAATCGAAGAGATTTATGGAAATGAAATAAATTTTTGATTTTTATTATTATTATTATTATTATTATTTTCTTTCTATAGATAAAAGTTTTATTATTGTTATTACCATCATCATCATCATCATCATCATCATTATTTCTTTTATTTTTGTGACGTTGACGTTTTGCTTTTATATATATTTTTATATATAAAATTGAAAACGATTTACTTAATTTGATTATTCGTTATTTTTATTTTATTTGTTTAATTCGAAAAAAAAAAATAAAAAAATAAAAAAGGATGGAAATATATTTTCATCCTTATTCAACCGGAAGAGAAAAAAAAGGTTTTTTTTTTTTTCATGGAGAATTCTGGAGAAGAAGGAGGAGGAAAAGGAGGAGAAAAAAAATAATTTTGTTGTGTTTGTCAATTTATTATATATTATTACAATGGCGGCGGCGTCGTCGTCGGTGAGGGAAAGAAAAAAAACAATTTTTTTTTCTATCTTTTTTTTTTCTCTTTCATCGTTGCTGACGTCACACACATTAAAAGCAGAAGGAAAAAAAAAGCACCTGAATTTTGTTTCTTTTTTTTCTTTCTTTCCTTCTTCTAATCGAATTTTGCTTTTTGCGTTTTTTTTATATTTATTTTGAAAATTTTTTTAATCGAATATTTATTTTTTTTCTATTGCCTTTCTCTCTCATCGTCACGCAATAATAATAATAATAATAATAATAATAATAATAATAATAATAATAATAATAATAATAATAATAATGATAATAATAATAATAATAATAATAATAATAATGATAATAAATTAAAATAAAAATTTATATTTCGGACAGGCGGTGATAATAATAAGCGTCGTATTTTTTTTTTTTTTTTGCTGTCGTCGTCGTCTCTACGAACGAACGAAGCGTTATTATTATCATCATCGCTTTTTCTCCCGCAGTTTAAAATTTCCTCTCATCCTACGTAAACAAACAAGCCACATGGGACGTCTTATCACAACTTTAAAACGTTTACGCCAACTTTTTGTTACCCCGTTGACAACATATTTTAATAATATATATTTTTTTTTTTTTTTTTTTTTTTTTTTTTTTCATAAAAATGAATTTTCACCTTTTCCTTCTCTTTCCTTCTCCTCCACTTCTCCCCCGCAAAAAAATTGCCGGCCCCCCTTTTTTTTTTACTTTCTTTGATCGGAGGAGAGGAAATTTCTAACGGCCATTTTCTTTTTTTTTTTGGGTGGGGGGAAAGGGTTTTTAAACAAAGCAAAAAAATTTTTTTTTCCATAATTATCTCTCTCTTCATTTCCCTTCCCCCCCCCCATCATAGAAATTGATAAGAAGCGTGAGATTTTTTAAAATAATTACGTCATCATAAGTATAAATATTTTTCCTCCTACCGGGTTGAGTAATAATTTTAAATCGTTTTCACTACCTCATTAATATTATTATTATTTATATTATTTCTACGTTACCGTTCGAAATGATAAAGTTTAAATAAATTATTAATATTATTATTATTATTAATATAAAAAGGGAATCAGTCGTATTAGAGTTTTTTTCACGTATCACGAAAAGAAAATTTTCTTCCCCCCGAAAAAAAAAAAAAAAATTATAAATGACGACGTCACATTAAAAAATCTGACGTCAAAATTGTAGAATAATAATGTGTTAAATTTTTTTTTTTTTTTTTTTTAATTTTAATGGCGTTAAATTCTTTTTTTTTTTTAAAAATGTTTTTTTATGTAAAAATTTTCCAGTCGTGAATAATGTTGAGTTACCGAAAAATTACTTCTTCACGATTTTTTTTTTTTTCTGGATAATTTATGGAAAAAAAAAATTTTGTTTTTGGCGGTGTAATTTTAAAAACGTTTACGTTTCTCTCGATAGTGTACACGTGTGTAAATCGTAATGAAAGGCGGTGGCGATGGTGGTGACGATGGTGGCGACTTCTCGGATAAATTTGAAATTTGTTAAAAAATATTCGGTCGGTTTTGTTTGCGACATCGATTTCAGTATCATTATTATTAGTATTATAAAGGGTTTTATTCGTGGATTCACGACGCCATTTTTTTTTTTAAGGCAGTTTTTAATTTCTCTTGGGGGGAGGGGGGAGGGAAACATTTGTACGATTTTGATCATCGACATAAGAATCTTTAATTACTCGCGCGACATTTTCGGTTGTTTTGATCTTAGCGATGTTAATTCCGAACTTGGAGATTCTTCTTTCAATTTAAAATTGAATATCATCATCATCATCATCATCACTATCATTATTATTATTATAGCGTTATATAAATACAAGCATCGGGGGGGGGGAAATGATTTAGTTTTTTTTATTATTATTTTAATGAGGGGAGGCATCACTCGTCGGGCCTTCTTAAAAAAAAAAGCACTCTTGAAATTTTCCAGAGTGTTGTGAGGAGCGAAACGACGGATAATTAATTAAAGAATATTGTAATAATAATAATAATAATCCGGGTTGTTTTTTCTTTCTCTCTCTCTCTCTCTCCATAAAATTATCTTTATTTTAAGTTTCGTGCCTGGATAACAAGAAAAAAAAAACAAAATGGTTTACCCGAATGAAAATTATAGTTTTAGTAAATTTGATTGTTTTGAAAAATTTTTTTTTCTTTATTCAGGTAAGAATTTATTTTAAAAAGAAAGAAAAACAATAAGGTTATTATCATTATTATTATTATCCACCATTAAACACGACAAGGCTACTTGTCGGAGTTTTTTTAAGTATTTATCCGAGGTTTCTACCCGATTCCTTAGGGACAAATACTCGAATTTCGGTGGTGCCACTTATTATAAGATAGCACCACATCAATTCTTGAAGGTCTTCCTGAGTCCGTCTTTTTCGATGGGAACGATTTGTCTCCTGAACTGGGCTCCGGTGACTAACATCTTTGGAGTGGCCAGGGTCAGAAGCAGTGAAATTCACGTTCTCGTCGAGCTGCCTCAGGTCGACAGTAGAACAAGATTTTGTTTTTGGTTCTTACTTTGTCTTGTTCTCATTTTTTTTTTTCTCTTTTTAAGCCAACAGCACGTGGCGTTCTCAAACGGTCACCCATCCAAGTTTGCACCACGCCCGATGCTGCTTAACTTCGGTGATCGTACGGGAACCGGTGTGACCAGCACGCTATGGCCGTTGGCTTTTATTATTATTATTATTATTATTATTATTAGTATTAGTATGGTCACTCTTAAACACGACAAGGCTCTTATTTGTGGGGGTTTTTAAGCATTTATTCCAGGTTTCTACCCGACTATTCCTTAGGGATAAATGCTCGAATTTCGTTGGTGCTATTTATAATATTTTCCGAAGAATGTGGGCCGTCCCACATAGTGCGATTTCCTGGATGGTTTCTTCTTTTAGGTTCTTCATAATCTTCTTTAAATTTCCTTTCATTGAATGTGGCATCATGGCTCCCTGTGCTGCTCCCACAATGACCGGAATCGTTTCTGTTTTTTGTTCCCCACATCCTGGCTATTTCAATTTTATTATTATTATTATTATTTTAATTCATCGCGAGATTCCATGCTTGCACTTGTAAGAGTTTTATTTCCAAAATTCTACCCGATTCCTTACGAATAAATGTTTCGATATTAATTTTTTCCTAGATTTTTTCAGAATATTCTCCAATCTTATCCAGACTTTTCCAGTTTTCTCCAGATTTTCTCCAGACTTCTCCAGTTTTCTCCAGGATATTTTTAGACTGCTCTAGCCTTATCCAGACTATTCTAGTTCTCCAGTTTTCTCCAGTTTTCTCCAGACTTCTCCAGTGTACTCCAGAATTTTTTCCAGACTTCTCCAGTCTTATCCAGAGAAATCTCCCTATTCTTCTACACAGCCTTTCTAAACTTTTTTTCTAAACTTTTTCAGCTTTTTTCTAAACTTTTCCAGATATTCTCGGGACTTTTCTTGTTATTATTATTATTATAATTCTCATCATCATCATCATCATTATTATTATTATTATTATTATTATTATTAATATTATTAGAAATCGTTTCCAAGTGAATCGAAAAGGGGTAATGAATCGCGTAAATGGATAAAAAAAAAAAAATCAACTCGTCAGTTTTCATTATGTTCTGACAATTTTTTATTTTTTCATTTATTTATATTATTTTATTACGATTTTCGTGGAAAAAGAAAATGAGAAAAGAGAGAGAGAGAAAATACGTACTTTGCATATCGGATTCCCTCTCTCTCTCGTTGGCAATCCCTGATGTAGGCCCCCTGAAAAGTTCTTATTTATTTATTTTTTTAAATGGAAATTTTATAATTAGGAAAAATGGAAAATTTTAATTTTTCCGGTTGATTTTCGAACACGCGTGATTTCGTGGTTTTTGATTTTTTCGCGGCTTTTTCGATTTTTCGACGTGGCAAAAGGTTTCTTTAACCTTTTTTTTTTTTGCGGTTTTTACGAAGGGCAAAGAAGTTTAAGGTTTGGTAAAAAAAGGATAGAAAGAAAATGAAAACATTTTTTTTTTTTATGCGGCGACGAATAGGAAATAGGTTTTGCTTTCCCTTTCCTTTCCCCTCCTCCTTCTCTCCTTTTTTTTCTTTTTTTCAAAAGCGGGTCGTAGTAATAATAATAATAATAATAATAATAATAATAATATTGATGATGATAATAATAAACCGTTTGAAAATTTTAAAACGTTTAGAGAAAACTTTTCCTTTTTTTTTTTTTTTGTCGTCGGAAAAGGGAAAAATTTTGAAATCTCGTGAGGTTTTTTGTAATTTCCGGTTGAGTCACATTGTGTGTTGGAAAAGAAAAAAATTTTTTTTTTTTTTTTTTTGAAATTATTGTGCAATTGACAAGGCTTGTCACGGGGTTTTCCCCCTCACCCTCCCCCCGCTTTTTTTTGATGTATACATAAACATACATCCGTGCATGTATGTTACGAGTTTATTTGAAGTGTGTTTTGTTGTTGTATTTTCCGGTTTAATGTTTGTTTGAAATTTAAATTTTCTTTTCTTTCTCTTCCGGCCCCCCCCATCTCTTTTCTTTCCCTTAACTTTATTTCTCATATTGTAAAATACACAAAAATGTTTGTCCTCCTCCTCCTCCTCCTCTTCCTCCGCCCAGCCCGTTGAAAAATTCCATTCGACTCGATTGATTTCACCAAAATGAATTCGTTATATCGACAACGATAACAAATTGGGGGGCGGTGGCGGTGTCGGGGGATAGTGAGGGAGGGAGGAAGGGGGGTTAATCGATATTGATTTTGTTATCGATTTACTCTCATATTCCGGTATTTGATTTCTTTGGGTTTTTCGCACGTTTAATTCATTTTTTTTTTTATAACTCGAACGAAAAACGGTTACATATATAATATGAAAAATTTATTTTTTGTTGTTGTTTTGAAAATTTATTATTATTATTATTATATTTTACCCCTGGAGGTTTCAATTTTACTAAGGATTCTCTACTACTACTCCTACTACTACCACTACTGTTCTTTATATTTAAAATTGCTTATATTATATTAAATTACTTTTACTGTAAATACCGTATTTAATAAAATCGCCTGAAGGATATTTAACAATATAAATTTTCGATAGAATTAAAATGAGAAAGGGTGAGGGGGGAGAGGGAGAGAGAGAGAGAGAGGGAAAAAGGGAAATAAGAAGGAAAAATATTTGAAAATGCCAAAAAAAAAGAAAGACAAATCGAAGTAAGAGTTGAAAAGGAACGAGGGAAGGAAGGAAGGAAAAAAAAATAAATGCGAGAAAAAGAAAAAAATTTCATGTTTGAATCTTCTAGAAAATTCCATCAGTCAGTCATTTACCTGGGATTGGCTCGAGGGTTTTGAATCAAACGAGTTTATTTTAAATATATATACATACATGCATGCATACATACATTCAATGTTACCAACCGTATCGATACTTTACATTCCGCGTACGCGCGCGCGCGTGTGATTTTTTTCAAAAAAAAAAAAAAAAAATTTTTTTTTTTCCTCTTAATAATAATAATAATAATTTTGTATTTTACGTGTTGAATGTGTCTATGCCTACTAGAATTTACGTGGAATCGCGGAGGCATACGCACGCACACCGCGGCGGCTTACACTTATTACGATGACGTGTGTGGTAATAATTATTAATAATTTAGTAAAACGTCGGATTTTTTTTTTCTTCTTTAAAAAGGTTCGATTTTTCAAAAGGTTGACGAAAAAGGATAAAAAATTTAAAATTAAATTAAATTTTATTAATCGACCAGTATTTTGTCGCAGATTTGTTTTTAACGTTGAAAAATTTGCGACAAGTTGAGAATGTATGTCTTCTTATATTTAAAAAAAAAAAAAAAAAAAACTTAAAAAAACCAGCATGTTCGGTAACGTTTGTTTGTCGTTTGTCTGACGCCGCCGTTTGTTATTGTATTTTTTTCACGGGATTTTGTTTGTTTTTTTTTTTTTTTTTAATAAAATTAACGGTTAAATTTATTGCTCCAGACTTTTAAATTCCGAATGAAAAATTATTTTTATTTTATTTTATTTTATTTATTTATTTGTCTGAGTAATAATTTTAACGGTTGTCGCAATATTACCGAAAAATATGAAACATTTTTTTCTTTTTTTTTTCTTTTTTTTTGTTTTCTGTTCTTAACCTTTTGGATATTGTTTCTCTCTCTCTCTCTCTTTCTCTCTTTCTCTCTTTTTCATCCCCCCTCCCCCAGGGTTCTGTTTTTTGTTTTTTCGTTAAAAAAAAATAATAATAATAAAATGAAATTCGTAATTTTTATAAGATTTCGATTTACCAATTGGAATTTTTAATTTTTTTCTGTATTTTATTATAATAACGAAATTATTATTATTATTATTATTATTATTATTATTATTATTATTATTATTATTATTATTATCATTATTATTATTATCATTATTATTATTATTATCATTATTATTATTATTATCATTATTATTATTATTATCATTATTATTATTATTGAACAAAAATTTACGTGTTTGTGTGTATGTATTTTTTTATTACGTGGTTGTAATTATGACGTTTCGCATTTGGAGAATTTTTTTTTTTTTTGGGTTAATGTAAACATTTTTTTTTGCGTTTTATGCGATGCATGTGTCCGCCATCTTTGTTTTTTTTTTTTCTCGTGCCACTTTTTTTTTTTTTTTTTGTTTTTGTTTTTGTTTTGTTTTGTTTTTTTATTTTCGCACGGTAAAATGTCATTTTCAGTTGTGTAGCAATCATTTAAAATGTTACTTTAGGGAATATCAAACGTTTTGAAGTTGTCGGAAAAATAAAAAAGGAATAAAGTAGGTAAAAAAAAAAACGAAAAACCGTTTGTCGTACAACCGTAGGTTTGTTGCTGCTGCTTCTGTTGCCGTTGCCGTTGCTGCCGCTTTAAAATAAAAAGGAAAAGAAAATTTTTTTTATATTTTATTTTTTTATTCTCAGTTTTAAATAATTTAATACAAAACCTTCGCTTAGCCATTTCTTTTTTTTTTTCTTTTTCTCTGCTGCCTTTTCAATTTGTACTTTTTTTTTTTTTTGTATTTTTATTCTTTCTCTTTCTCTCTCTTTCTGTTCGAAGAAATTAACCGTCAGGTTCTTCTTTTTTTTCTTCCTTCTCTTTTATTTTTAGGTTTTTTTTTTTTTTTTGCAAATACGCTCACGGCAACTGGGAGCAAGCGATTCAATTTTAAAACATAATTAAAAAAAAAAAAGGGAAAAGGGAGGGGTAAAAGGGGAAAAATAAGGGAGAGAACCTTTTTCGAGAGACAAGACTTTTAACGAACGAGAGCAAAAAAAGAAAAAAAATTTGCTCTCGTTCAGTGACTCGATCGTTCATCGATAATGATCGGATTTAATAAAAAATAAAATAAAAAAATGAAATTTCATGCGTGAAATTATAACAATTAATTAATTATTTGATTTCTCCCCTTAAATGATGTTTGTTTTCCCCCTCCCCCCTCTTTTCTAAAACAAACGAACAAACGGGATTAGGGTGTATGTTGTGGTGGTGGTTGTGCTTCGATATTTAAATTTTCCGAATCGATTTATCGATCGATTGCATTTTCTTTTTGGTCACGATCGCCTTTATTATCTCGTTTCGTTGTTGTTGTTGTTACAAGAAAAAGGAAAAGAATGAAAGGCATCCATTTGTGCGGTTGGATTAAATTAAAAAAAAAAATGTCGGTAAAGTTTTTAAAAGGTTAAAAGAGGAAAAAAAGGTTAGGGGTAAAAGGTTACGTGGAAAAAAAAAGAAAAAAAAGAAAAAAAAATTAAATTTTTTTTTCCCCGTTTTTTTTTTTTTTGTTCAAATTAGCTTTGACTCGTGGGTTTAAAATCATCATCATCATCATCATCATCATCGCGAACGTCAGGCATCGCAAAGTTATTATTATTATTATTTTCTTTGATTTATATTTTATTAAAATTAATTGATATAATGAAGAAAAAAAAAAAAAAAAAAGAGGAAAAGGTTGGAGGGAAAAAGAAAAAAATTTTTTTTTTCTTCTCACAATTTAAACGGAAAGTCGCTGTCTAGTAAAAAAAAAAGGAAAAAAAAGGAAAACTTTTTTTATTTCCTTTTCTACGGATAATTTAATACGAAAAAAAAAGAAAATTTTCCAATAAATCGATTTTTTTTTTTTTTATGTTATAATTGGAAAATTTAACTTTGAGTTTTAATGAGGAGCCATCGACAACTCTCGAACAATGAATAAAAAAAAAAAAAAACATTTCAATTCAAAAATCGATGAATGGACGTAACAAATGTCAATTTTCCGGATGGTTGAGATTTAAGGCCTCCCTCCCACTTTCCCTTTCCCTTCCCCTTCCCCTACCCCTTCCTCTTCTCCTTCCTTCTTTTTGTGTAGATTTTCCGTTTTTTGTATTGTTTACGTCACGGATGAAAATTTTTTTCCTTTTTTTTGTGTTGTCCTTGCGAGAATCGAACGAACGACTAGTTTACGAAGACGACGGAAGGAAAAAAAGAAGAAAAAAAAATTACATCGGCTGCCACGTTTTTTTTTTTACTTCGTTCGTTCCGAATAATCGACCGTCGTAATTGTTATGTAGGGGAATAAACAAAAATACACAAAGTGGCCGA